CGGTTCCTTAGTGGAACAGGCTTTCGCTACAGGTGGTGGACTCCCCTTCTTTGGAGGTTTTCAAACAGAGGATAGGCCGTCATGTGTCAGCAATGGTGATGCTATCAACTGAGGCAGATCATGAGAGGGAGGGCGGGCAGGGTTGCCTCAGTGCTTAGTTCTCATGCCCCTTTTTTACACGCCCAGGAAACTGCTGGTCGCCACCTTGGGGTCAGGAACCAATTTTTCTCCAGGCTAGTTTAGCCGGGGGTCTGGGAGGTTTTCTGTCATCTTCTGGGCGTGGAACAGCAGTCACTGGGGGTGTGGAGGGGGAGGCATTTGTGCATTTCTGCACTGTGGAGTGGGTTGGACTAGATGACCCTGGAGGTCCCTTCCAACTCTATGATTCTATGAGTTCTGATGTGATCAGGCCAGCCTGGGCTATCCAAGTCAACAACACCCATTAATTACTTAATGAGGGAGAAGTTCAAAGAAGGGAGGAATTGTAGTCTTGCTTCCAGAAGAACCACTCCCATGCAGTCGCCATATGGCCATCATCTCTAAAGCCCTCCTTCATGCACCCTTCCTCCTTCAGAGATGAGGGAGGAGGACCACGATCGACTTTCCAGTAGAAGCCCCACCCCCCAAATTTGGATGTTTATGTGCTGGCCCCTGACTGAGAGCCAGCATGGTGTAGCTGCTGAAGTGTCAGACCTGGGTCTGGGAGACCCGGGTTCGAATCCCCAATTGTGCCACAGAAGCTTGCTGGATGCCTAACCTACCTCACAGGGCTCTTATGAGGATAAAAGGGAAGAGAAGATAACAATGTAAGCGTCTTTGAGTCCCCATTGCAGAGAAAGGAAGGGTATGAGCAAGCACTAAATTAAAAAAAAAATTAATATGGCTTTTAACTGAATTGAGGTATGGTTTTGTTTTCCGCTTATTTCTTTCACCCGCATCCTGGTTCCATTAGGTTGCTGGTGTTTTTAAGATGCAACCGCTGCTTCTAGGAGCTGCGGTGGCTCAAGTGGTTAAGACGCTGACCTGCAGGTGTTTTTGTTTCCAATTAATACGTAAAACCAGAGGCTTAGGCGGAAAGGTGGGGTGGAAATGGTAGCTATCTTGAAACATAAGAAAACGGGATTTTACTTCAGTTTTGTTGGACACATTCCCGAGTACTAGCAAACAGCCACTAGGGGGCCTCAGTTGCTCGCCAGCATGTAATTTCCTTTCTTGGTCGTCCAGGAGAGAATTCTGAACTAAGGATTTTATTTACCTACTTAATTTACATGGTGCCTTTCATCCCAGTGGGGAGCCAGAGTGGGTTACTACATTCCTCCCCTTCCATTTTAGCACAACAGCCCTGTGAAGTAGTACAGCTAGATCCAAGTCCAATAGCGCTTTAGAAACCATCGGGATTTTTTGGGCATAAACTTTTTGAGAATCAAAGCTCCCTTTGCCAGATAGGAGTTGGAACGGAGATGGCCGAGTCCTTATGCCCCAGTCAGAAGGTGGGAGGGATGTTGCAAAGAAAGACCTCAGGATTCAAAGAAGTACAGTGTGCAGAGTTATCAGCTCGACTGGAGCGGAAAGGAAATGCTTAGACCAGGGGTGTCAAACATGCGGCCCGGGGGCCACATCAGGCCCCTGGAGGGCTTCCATCAGGCCCACAGGGGAACTGGCCGTCTCCTGCTTCCAGTTCTGCTGCTGCTGCATCATCGCTTGCTTCGCCAGACTCTTTCAATCGCTCAGCCGTTTCATGTTCTAACCTGGGTCCTAGACTCAGAACTCTGAGCATGAGATTTCTGTGGTGAATGTCAATAAATCAAAGGTAGGTTTGCAGCTTACAGATACACACCTGAACAGCAGACTCAAGATTGCGACAGCACAGACATCCTGATGCAAGGATTCAGAGCAAGAGGTGTCAGTTATCAGAATATTGCAAGAGTGCTAATACTTTAAGCTTGCTTTTATTTTAAGCTTTTAAAAAAACCCTCTGTGTTTGTGTCCTTTATAAAGTTTCTACATCTGCTACCTGACACATGTGGCCCGGCCCCCAAAAGTCTCATTTATGTCAGATCCGGCCCTCATAACAAACGAGTTCGACACCACTGGCTTAGACAAACGGGTTAGTCCCTGCACTTTGACTCTCAAAAGCTGTATTGGCAAGAGGCGTTTATGGATGACACACAAAACTCTTGTTGGTCTCTAGGATGCTACTGGACATGAATCTAGCCATTTTACGGCAGAACAACACGGCTGCCCTCTGAAATTAACCTGAGAGTGCGGGACAGGCCCAAGGTCACCCAACAGGCTCCTGTTACAGAATTGGGATTCGAACCCGGGTCTCACAGATCCTAGTCTGACCTGCACCACACAGGAAGGACACTGTACCTGATTTTGTGTCCTAGAAAAAGCTCTTTAAGTGCTTCGTTGTGAGTTCAACAGTTCTTTAAAAATCCGTTCAGAAAACAGCAGATGAAAATCAAAGTAGATATAAGTAAACAAAATATTAAAAAGGTAAAGGTTTCCCTTGCTCGAAAGCTAGTCAAATCCGACTCTAGGGGGTGGTGCTCATCTCCGTTTCCAAGCCAAAGAGCCAGCGCTGTCTGAAGACTTTTTCCGTGGTCATGCGGCCAGCATGACCAAACGCCGAGACGCACAGAACACTGTTCCCGAAGCAGTACCTCTTTATCTACCTGCAATTTCTTGTTTTCGAATTGCTAGGTTGGCAGGGCCAGAGACAGGAGCTCACTCCGTCATGCGGCAGTCGGGTCTCGAACTGCCAAAATACAGACCTTCCGGTCTGCAGCTCAGCATCTTAACCTCGGAGCCACTGCGGCCCTAAAACAAAATATACACCGAGAGCAAAGTCAGTACTGAATATTTTTAGATCTACCTGCTGCATAAAATAGATCGTTCTTGCCTTAGAAAAGAGCAAGAGTCCAGTGGCACCTTAAATAAAGACTAACAAAATCTGTGGCGGGGGATGCTTTCATGAGTCACTGTTCACTTCGGGTACAGCTAGAATGTGAGTCCATCTGTATCTGAAGAAGTGAGCGGTGACTCACGAAAGCACCTCCCCTGCCACGTATTTCGTTAGTCCTGGACTCTGGCTCTTTTCCACTGCTACAGACGGACTAACATGGCTACCCATCTTGATTCTTGCCTTAATTATACAGGGCACAGCCCAGTAGCGATTTCCCCTGTGCAAGCAACACTGAAACAGATGGGGCTGCCCAAGAGAAGTCCCCGACAAGTTGTATCCTTAGGCTATGAACCCATCCTTGTTACCTTCACTTGTAGTATGGACAGGGAGGGCTATAATCATGAATGAAACATGCACATGATCTTCAGCAATGCTATTAAATCATGTCCTCTAGAGCCAGAGAAAGCAGATAAAAAGTCCTTCTCAGCTTCTGTGATCTGCAGACCCTTTAAGCCTGAGATGCCAGGGATCGAACCTTGCAAACCACGTGCTCTGCCTCTGGGCCCGACCCCACTCCTCCCTCCAGGCGTTTTTGGAATGCCTACCCCCCCCCCATTCCCGCTACCCAGGTCTTGGAATTCAAAGTCAATGAACTGCCTCACCCCTAAATTGTTCTTGAATCTATTCAGACTTGCAGCAATTAAGATATTTCTCCCCTAGAGTAACAGGCAAAACAGCATTAAGATGATTCAGGAACAGAGATGCCGAATATACAGGAAGGAGGCTTTTAAGATATAGACATGTGGCCGCTCCCATTAAAGAGCTATTTTTAAAAACTTGCTGGAAAACTTTACTTAAAGAAGACCAACCCAGCTGCAGGATGTAAAGAGATGTTTCTGAACAAGTCCAGTGGGATTCTCTCTCTGCGTCCAAGATTAAAAGACTGGCAATACTTGAAAGCATTTTAAAGGGTTCCCCTGGGCGTTAAAAATATGTGTCGTAGAGAGATAAGCGGCATCTCCTGAAGATATACAAGCGGGAGCAGGGGGGGGTGACGGCAGAATCAAGCAGTAAAACCTTTCCTGAAATGCCGGCTGCTGAAATTATCTTTGCGTACAAATATGCACGTTTTTCTTTCTCCCCTCTGATACACACAGACGAGACTCCCGGCATGTCGAAAACTACCATGACGGGAATATAGGATTTACTCTCTACTACAAAAGTTTCTTTTCCCACTGCAGAACACTTGGGAAGCCCCTGCAGGAACGCATCATTACAACGCTCCAGATTCTGCAAAGATTTTTCTAGTGACTCTTATGTGCAATTTAAGGCACTGGACATTACTTCTAAATTCCTGGAAAGCTATGGCCCTTGGTATGTTTGAGGCTCTTTGTGACGTCCTTGCTTATTGGGGAGATGGTTTTACCTGTAAACACTCTCTGTGTATATAAACTTGGTAGTTTTCGGCTGCCACCAGGAATTAAAAATTCCAAATCTCTCTCTTTTGGTAGTATGACCTAGGGTCTGGGCACTTCAGAGGACCATGGGGCCCTGAGGAAGGGCTATTCTGATTTCTGGGATAAGTTTAAACAAAAAGTTATTTATTTAATAAAGAACAAAATAGGTTTCTGGTTATTTTGAACTGTTGCTGATGAAAGGAACTTGCAAATATAACTGGCAAAGCTTGGCATCATAGTCTAAAACTCTACACTGGCAAGCTTAGACACTCAGTCTAATCTCTCTCATATAAATAGCCACACAGGCAAAACTCTTAGTCTTATTCACACAGAATAGACTCAGACTGTGCTCTCCCTCCAAACTTCACACACAGAATACTCTCAGAGATCTGATTACTGGGATAAGTTTAAACAAAAAATATTTATTAAATAAAAACAAAATAGGTTTCTGGTTATTTTGAACTGCTATTGATGAAAGGAACTTGTACATATAACTGGCAAAGCTTGGTGTTACAAACAGTCTTTCAGACTCCAAACTCCACTCTGACAGGCTTATACACTCAGTATACTCTCTCTCTCATATCTATAGCCACACAGGCTAGTCTCTTTGTTTTTGTCAGACAGAATAGAATCAACTCTCTTAGTCACACAGACTAAAATGTTGGGCTTATTTACACAGCAAAGGACTCAAAATCCCATAGTCCCACAGACTATGTTCTCTCTTCAAACTTCACACACAGAATCTCTTCAAAACTCTTCCGTACTTGTCTCTCCTCATAGACACACACACAGAATCCTCTCAGACACCCCTCCTCCCACACTCTCAGTCTTCTGCAGCCAATCACAATACACTTGTCTCCCTCGATCATTCTTCTCATTTTACTGCAGTCAAACTAAACATTTAAAGGAACACACACACCAATACATGAAATCATTACAGTCTTCCTTTCCCCTAGATCAGGGTTTCCCAAACTGTGGGTTGGGACGAATATTCCCTCTAGGCTGTGCGTATGAGCAGCCACTCATTAACACAAGAAGCCCTGGTCAGTGCCACTGGACTCAAACTTTGTTCTATAAAGTAAAAAATGCCAGGCAATGGGAGCCGCCCTGAGCCCGCTTGCAGGGAGGACGGGTTATAAATACAAATAAATAAATAAAATAAAGCTTTTAAGCAGGCAGTTTTAAGAACTTGCTCTAGATGTTGATTGGGATGCTAGCCAGGCTTAATGCTTTTAAATAATATATTCTCATCCATTCTAACTCAGGACGTGATTTAAGCTGTTTACAGTTCCGCAGGGCCTGCAAGACAGAGCTCTTCCGCTAGGCTTTTGAGTAGGAGCCGCCGCCCCTACTATACCACCACCGCCATGGGTTGGATGAGGCCCTGAGGAAACATCTAAAAGGAAGAAGCCCTAAGCTGTCTACTTGGAACTCCGGACCGGCGATCCGTCATCTCTGGACTATGGAAGTCACTGAGCACCTTGTTTTTAAATTAGGATTTTAAGATGTATTATGTTTTAATCTATTATGTATATTATGTTTTATTATGGCGAGGTCTGCCTTGCCTCTGTAAGCTTATCATCTACCCTATTACTGGGAGGGGGGTAGATGTCGCCCGGCGGAGATGGGAAACATCACTCCTGGCGCTCACACCATTAATAACGCTGGCCGTCAATATGGGTCACCGCACATCTTGGGGAGTTTTAGAGAACTGTAGAGCACCATTTTATTCTGTATGTAATGATGTTTTATTGTATTTTATATTTTAATCCGGCATGGCCGCCTGTTAGCCGCCCTGAGCCACTTGGGTAGGGCAGGATATAAATCCCAAAATAAACAAATAAATAAAATAAAGAGGGGGACCTGTAATGAATCACAGGGGAGAAGAAATCAATTCCTCCCCCCTCCCCGTACTGCCAGCTGTGGCTCCCCATGTCAGCTGTAGCCCCTCCCCAACTGGTTTTGGCTTGCCATGCCCCCCCTCTAACCTCAGTCTTCTAGCTGGGTTGCATCAGCAGGACATCCCAATGAATGTAAATATGAGACATTTATTCCATCTACAGAAATTTAATGCGGTGGCTCAGAGGTTAAGATGCCGTGCTGCAGATCGGAAGGTCTGTAGTTCGGCAGTTTGAGACCCGAGTGCCGCATGACGGAGTGAGCGCCCGTCTCTGGCCCCAGCTCCCGCCAACCTAGCAGTTCGAAAGCAAGAAATTGCAAGCAGATAAATAGGTACCACTTCGGTGGGATGGTGACAGTGTTCTGTGCGCCTTGGCGTTTAGTCATGCTGGCTACGTGACCATGGAAAGGTCTTCGGACAGCGCTGGCTCTTCGGCTTGGAAACAGAGATGAGCTCCGCCCCCTAGAGTCGGACTCGACTGGTTTTCGAGCAAGGGAAAGCTTTAGTGCAGATTTGGCAGGTAAAGGTATGATCTTATAACCCAGCAGCATAAAAGGAGAGAGAGGAGCGAGAGAGATTTACCTTGTTTGTACCTGTGCCTATGATAATCTTTAATATCTCCAATCCGGCTTCCAGGAACGATCTCTAGCAGGTCTGTACCTTGGCTTGTTATCAGCCTCCAACCCATAACGTCTACTCTGGGGTCCGACGTCACAACCACCGCTTTGCCGGCGTGGCGTTGGAGCTCATGGGAAACCTCCTCAGAAGGCTCCTTCGAAATCACGGCCCACAAGGAGAGGTCGAGGCAAGGCGTGATGCTCACTTTCCTTCGGATCTTGTACAGTTTCAAATGCTTTTGAAGGGAGTCCAAGGCTGCGGCGTCACACTCCAGGAGAAGGTGGGTCTCTTCTTGAGAACTTTCATGAATCCTGAAAAAGAGCAAAAGAAGATCTGAAGAAAATCCTGGAGAGGGAGGATTGATATGAATCTTTACCTTCATCCTAGTATATTGAAATTGAGCAAACTTCAGAGGACGGCGGAAGACAGGAAGGCCTGGCGGGATCTGGTCCATGGGGTCGCGAAGAGGCAGACTCGACTGTGCGACTGAACAACAACAAAAGTATATACTGCAGGGTATAAATCCTGCAAGTCGGCAAAATCAGTGTGCCGTGTTTGTTGGTTTGTCAAAAACACCTGGTTAGCTACTGCAATGTACCCTCTAAGCTGAGTTAGTGTGAGTGAGCTAGCTCACAGTTTTTTAGCCTCCAGCTTACAGATTTTTATCTTTGCTCAGGAAGGGATGGAGCTCCAGAGCACACTAATTGATACAGTAGCCCAATCGCTCGCTCACAGCTTTAATGCCAGTAGCTCCCAAGTAGAATTTTTTGCTCACAAGACTCCACAGCTTAGAGGGAGCATTGAGCTACTATAGAAAATGGGAGTACTGAATTAGATGAGTGCCAAGGTAACGGACTGCCCTGGTGCAAATAACCTTGGGCCATTCCTAGATGGGTCACGATATCAAGTACATTTGGCTTGTGGGTCACCACACAGAAAATGTTGGGAACCGCTGCTCTAGACTCCTGCGTGGGAGGAATAACTGGCTATGGCCCTCATATACATGCCCAGAGACACGAAGAAGAGTTGATTTTTATACTCCACTTTGGCAAGTTTGGTGGACAGATCACTCATAACCTGACCATCCATCAGGGTCACTCTCAGTGTTCCCTCTAAGCTGAGTTAGTGTGAGCTAGCTCACAGTTTTTTAGCCTCTGGCTCACACATTTTTGCCTTCGCTCAGGAAGGATGGCTCCAAAGCAAACTGATTTATGCAGCAGCCAAATCACTCGCTCACAACTTTAATTCCAGTGGCTCACAAAGTAGAATTTTTGCTCACGAGACTCCACAGCTTAGAGGGAACATTGGTCACTCTACCTATGAACTGCATCTGTGTCAGGTCTCTGAAGGAGTCACTGTTCTGGCTTTAAGTTTCAGGTGGGTAGCCATGTGGGTCCGAAGAAACAGGAAAAGGTTTGAGTCCAGTGGTACCCCGGAGACCAATAAAGTTTAATACTGGGTATGAGCTTTTCGTGTGCATGCAAACTTCTTCAGATACATGCACACGAAAGCGTATACCCAGAATTAAACTTTGTTGGTCTTAAAGGTGCCACAGGACTCAAACTTTGTTCTGGCTTTAGTTAGGGGCTAGGACCTGGGACCCCCTACGTGCAAAGGCAAGGTCTTTCCCACTATCCCCGTAACTCATTCCTTGTAATAAAGTCGCATTGCACTCAGTGGGACCTTCCTCCAAGGAGACAGGTACGAGGATCGGGCCATCCACGGGCACGCCCACTGCACCCTCTTCAGAGGGTGGTGGCACGCTGCGCTAAACTGGTTCTCCAACACCCCCCTCCCCCGTCAATGCGCCCTTCCACCACCCCCTTTAGTTAGCTGCAGATGGAACGCTCACCTGTACAGAATGACGTCATAAAGGCACCGCCCCTGGACGTTGAGGAGGTGCGCGTACTGCGCGCGAGGCGCCCCGGAGGCCCCGCCCCCCGGCGCCAGCCGCGCCACGTCATTGGTCAGCAAGCCCTGGAGGAAGGGCTCGGTCTCCCGGCCCTGGAGACGAAGCAGAGCGCGGTTC